GGCCGGGCCTGCTTGGCCTGCCGGCGGCGATGGTCGGGCCTGCGGCCCGACCATTTCTGTCACGCAATTTGCTGAAGAACATAATCAGAAGACGTAACGGGCCTTCGGCCCGCAAAGCCCGTCGTCCTTAAAATTTGCCCCGAAGACACGAGGAAGGGATGTAACGGTGAAGCACCGCGACTACAACCCACCCTTCTGCTTAGAAAACGTTTTTTGGGTTGGGGGGAGGGAGTTTCTTTCCTCTTTTGCGGTTTTGGGCCTTCTTCTACAACTTATTGTTCACTACAGGAATTTTAAGCTTATTTTCGTCAAACAAGACCCTCTAGCGCCTAAACGATTGGAGATAGAGCCAAACGGACGAAATTTTCGCCCAAAGGGCTCTACTTTGACGAGTTACCCCTTAAAGGATCTTAAAAAAAATATTTTTTGCTGACTTTTTTGACCTACCCGATTTTCTTTGATACCCCCTTTTAGCCCTTTAGGGGTGGTTGCCAGGATTTGCCGTAGGCGTTTCGTTCTCTAGGAGTGGACCTTAAGATACCCTGAAAATTTTAAGTCTCTAGCACATCTCCTTCTAGTGGAACAGACAGACAGACACACAGACACACAGACAGACACACAGACAGACACGAGGTCGTTTGCATAAGCCCGCTGGATAGCTTTTTCAAAGCAGAAGGGCGGGCTAAAAAGGTCCACCGTGGCCATTCATTACATAAGCGACCCGGCCCGGGGCTCGTTCGGAGGCGTCCAGGGGCCCCTTCACACGCCTCCGTGAGCAGCCTACCATTTGAATCAATCAATAAGTGTCAAACTTGGAGACTTTTGTATACGGTAAAACAAAACGAAAAACAATGCACTCACAAAAAATAACTAGTGTCATTTTTTTTCCTGCGCTCGCGGCGGCAAGAAGAAGACAAAACACTGCAAAAAAAGAAGAGATAGGTACTCACTTCCGCCCTCCGTGTCCTGCTGCGTCTTCTTGACCACCATGACGGATGCGTCGGAAGACTGGCCGTTCTTGAGTTCACGCATGATGGCGAGTGGTACTTCTTTTGTTTTTCTTTCCCTTAAGTCTTGTTTCCTTTTCGCTCTGCACCGGCGATCGGCTGGTGCGGAAGCGAGAAGAAGAAGGAGAAGAAAGAGGTGACGGCGCCCGAGGCGGAAGGAAATACTGGTAAGAATGGTGCATCAGTGGTACAAGTTGTCCTTTTCTATTGTTCTCCGGAGCTTAGGCGCTCGCTCGGCACTCCGAGAGTGGTAATAGTGGTTCACGCTCGGTCCGGGCCTCCCCA